AAATACACACACATACAGTATATATTTTGAAAATATTTACATGTATTATACATTTATATTCTAATATTTTATATTATATATACATATATTTAATATATAAACATAACATATTTTTCTTAAAAATACACATGCATGTGTTTGTATTTATATATACATCATAAATATACACAGTATAAACACATATTATGTAAACAAAAACTTTTATTTTGGATGCGATTAATCGCGATTAATCGTTTGACAGCACTAGTTCAAACCTTAAATTCTGATTTAATATTAATTAAAAAAAAAAACATATACAAACATTGATGCAAAGTAAAAGATTATTTATTATAAAGACCAATATATAATTTCTTTAGACATAGATCAAATGTTAATCTAGATAAGTATAATAATATAATATAGTAGCAATCAATATAACAATATATTTTGGGGGCATTTTATAACTTAATTTGACTATAAATAAAACTAAATTAGCTATAGTAGAATTTTTTGAAAACTAAAACTAAAAAGATATTTAGACAGTTTAACCTTAAACTACATTTAATGTTTATCGTGATGTCTTTTTAAAATAGCCATCATATTTTCTGCAAAAAAAAAAAACAAAACACCTGAACATTGAATAAAACTCATAATTTCTTCAGCCAGTAAAGCAAGCAGTATTTGTTTTGCACATCAAAACTCTGGTGTCAAGCAAAAATACTATTTAAACAAAAATTCTTATTTTTTTTCTTTTTTCTCTGGGGAGTGTTATTTGCTTTTAGAAAAACTGAACGAAACAGGTTTAAACCGGAAACCATATAAAATGGACTTTAAATAAATTATTTTTTTTCAGTGTATGAATTGCTTTTCAATATTATGTCACAGATTTATAAGGAATATTTAGAGTTATACAATTAGTAGATACTGTTTTCTGAAAGGACTTAGAAATGAAGACCATCACATGCATTTTTTCATTTGGATATCTGTTTTATGGGACTCGTATCATAAATTAAACCCCTTTGCTCCAAATAATACCTTTTGTTGTTGTTGTTAATAATTACCAAGCCGTATCTAAATCCTATAACTTTCAGTGAAGGTGTAGGGGAAATGTTATTATTATTTGCTTTACTAAAGAGTGTTCTTTAAAGTCTCTGAATGCTTCTTTGCTATGCTTGAGTTATTTTGATATGCTAAAAGAACAACAGGAAATGTGTGTGTGTGCAAGTATTATTTTAGAGACCCTACATCCTAGCTTCTAAGAAGATGATTTGCATTACCCTTACGAAAAAAAATGTGTATTCAAGTGTGCTATTAGTATACTTCTTTTAAACTAAAAATAGGAAAGTATACTTTTTGTCTACTTTTGATGTATTTCTCAGAAATATACTTAAAATTACATTTAAGTATACTTGACTTATAGCCTACTTAGAAAAAGTCTAAATATACTGAGCTATACTTGTGTTCCTAGAATCCATGTTTTCATTGTT